TAATAGTAAATGTTCGAGATTTGATTTCTACATCACAAGGGCCTTAAAAGTATGAAACCTCCATAATTAAAGATTATCATAGGATGCATGACAGACAGATACTCCTCAGTACTAGCAAATAGTATGAAACTGCAAGAGGTCTGACTGCCCTGATTTTGTATGCACGCAATGGAACGTTAAAAAAGTACTTCCACGAAATAGAAGCGCCCTAATTCTGAATTCGAATCGAGTTTGCTCGAAATCGTCTTTTGGATACACGCCCCTTTTTGGAAGTACTCTTTGAAGTAGGAATGCGTTCCAACGAAACCACGGCAGTCAGACCTCTTGCAGTTTCATACTCTCTAGCAAAGATCTTATAAACACAAGAGCGTTCTCCGCGATTTACGCATAACAAATAGAAGCGTCGATTTGGCACAGAAAAGTAATCAGTTTTGGAGAGGGCACCCTAGTCTTTGCCATGAATCTGAGATAGGGTGTTCGCGTTACGCCATAAGTTTGTTAACAAATATGTTAATTCGCTCCTTATGTTTTAAAGAGAGGGCGCATTGTAAATCGGTAGACGCTTCTAATTGTTACGCGTAAACGTAAAGTTGCGCGTCGTACACTATAGCCTAGTTCTCACGAGAGCCCTAGTATCCGGATCGGGAGCTAACCGTTAGTGCTAACCGTTAGCACCTGCGTGAGAACACCCGGTTATCGCAAACTGTTAGCGGTATCCTGATACGCTAACGGTTAGCAAGCGCTATCGGTTAGCAGGTTGAGGGCGCTCTATCATCAACCAATCACACGTACACGTTTACAATTTCCAATTTCTTATTGGCCAGTGATCCGATCATCATATTGTTGGTATCCGGATAGGGATTTTCTCGCATGGACGCACGGCAGCTAACAGTTAGCAGGATCCGGATCCTGCTAACCGTTAGCTTCAATTTTGCAAGAGGGTGCCGCATTATTACAGAATTTGCACGCATAAATCGCGGAGAACGCTATCTTATGTTTATAAGATCTTTGCTCTCTAGGTATTGTAAATAAATGGTGCTTGAGGGCAAGTTTATTTGTCCAAACGGAAATTCAGAGTGAAAATTATTTATATTTTAAATGTATTACTTTCTGAGTCAGATTTTATTGAGTAAGACAGTAAAAATTTAAAAAAATATTTGTAACACCAAATACTGGTGTAAATGTGGTTTAAATTGGCTTACTTCATAGACATGCGAAATATTAATATTTACAAAATATTTCCACAAAAGTAATAATTGATAAGGTTCAGAATTTCTTTTTAACCAATAAGGATCCAAAATATTTTTGAAAAGGCTACTTTTTAAACCAACCAATTGTTCTTGAGAAAGTGGTCACTGATTAAAATGGTCATCTTGAAGTCTTGTTTTTGAAACCTGATGGGGACATATGTTTTTCTCAAAAAAATATTTTAATTATTTCATTTTTCTGAAAAACAAATTTGAAACCAAAAAACACTTTTTATTTTTTTTCCATTTAAATGTTAAAAACTTGCAACAACATAATCAATAAATCAACATAAATCATGCATTTATTAATACTAAAATAATTGATTTGTGGCCAATTTCAAGGAAGCGGAATCACAATTTTCCAGAGATTCAATCCGGGTATTGGTAAACCCCACAAACAATGAGTTTATATGACCATCAAATTATTATTTTTTTTTTTTTAGAAAAAGAGAGTTCTACAATCGTAATTAAAGGGTTTAGGAGGGGTTCGCAGTGTGTTTGGAGGAATGTGGTGTATTTGCAAGTATTTTTTCACAAAAAAAATCAACATTTTAACCGAAAAATAGGTTCTTATAAATATTTAATTTTCTTATTAATATACCAAGTGAGTCAATCACAATTGAATTGTTTGGTTTTCTACAGTGTGTTTTAGGAGGTTTTTGGGATTTAGCAATACCATTTGATCCTACCATAATTACTTTACCCTCACAATTACCCCCATTTTAATTTTTAGCATAATTGCCATATTTACATAACTATGTACATAATATAGTACCTCAGTTTACATTATTTAGTATAGTTTTGGGCACTTAAATTTACTTGGCGGGGAGTAGAAACCAAGTACAGTATGCAATTAAATAAGTTGCTTAAATATTCAGTTTACTTTAAAAACAATATTTGATTAACAAATATTTCTTTGAAGTAACTCTAAGCAGAACATTTGTTGAAGTAATGTAAGCCTCCGTTTTCCCATACATGAACTTACATTCAAACACACAATTAATCCACATGCTTTAACTACTGTTTATTTGTACTGTTTATAACATGTAAAGTTATTTCATTTGATACTTAACAAAAGTGAATTTTGTGGTTATCTATGAGTTGCATATTTTGGTAGTTGAAGTACTGTATGACCATATGCGATTCCTCTACTTTGTTAGTGGAATAACGTTTTTAAAACTTATTTCAACTATCAAAAAATGTTCAATGTCCGTTGTTTTCTGATAATCTCTCAGTACATTATTTGCATCTGTTGTGTAACTGTATTTGTTATCGATTCAATTCTTGCTTATTACAGTATTTAAATATTTGAAGATTTAAAAAAAAAAATTAATTTCTATTACTGAATTTTTTCATCGGGGCCATTTTTACCTACATTCTGCCAAAGAACGCAGTGTGCATTTGCTATGATAGCTGAATGTAAGGTTATGACAGAAGAGAGTGCTGTACAGTTAATACAACATGTAAGTTTGTACTTTTATATGCTTCTTTGGAAATGTAATTGTGATGGTTGTTTTTATTCGAGGGCTGGTTTTATTTACTTATGGACCGTAGTTTTCGAGTTGAGGCTTGGACTTAAACTGCAAGGGTTAAAGTGAATAGGTCTGACTAGGGATGTGTCGTTGTGATGCTTCTGTTATCAGTACTGGGACAGGAGTTGAGCCCAAGATAAGTTGAATATACAGCGTTGCATGCGTGCAAGATGAGTGGAAAAGTCATGACCTATATGAAGAATACGGTGGACTAAAGATGTAACATTGTTTACAGTTGTACCTGAGACAACTATAGAAGGAGATTGGAAACGACCCGAGATTTCTTTTGTTCTTAAATCCCGGTGATTCGTTGTGTGTTGCATGCTTTTGATATGCAAATCAAGTCAACCAGACACTGTTGCAGCCAAGCAAATGCTTACTGCGCATGCTCAGTTCATAATCACTGAGCCATGTAAATGAAAACAACTACCGAATAGGCGTCTCTGACATCGTAGCCGAACTTGTTCGTGGCCAAAACGCCCTACGCCCCTAGGCCTATAATGGCTAGGCCACACTGTAGGCCTAAACTAGAGCATAATTTAAGGCAGTATTTCGTATGTAATCCATGAAGATATTTAATATAGGTACAAACAGGTTTAGCTAATCTTTCGGTATATTACCTGTCAATGACTAATGGTTCATAAATATTAGAGAAAAGTGTATTTTAATAGCTGATGTTTCCAACATTCAATTGCTTAAAAAGCAGTAATTAATACGAAAATATGTCAATTGGACTGTATGTACATTCTGAACCTGACTTACTAGGTACACACAAAAATACTATTTCTGTTGTGGTAAATGATTTCAGAACATATACGTGCCTATAAATGTGTGTAAACCGTACTATGGATTTAGTGTGTTTCTTCAATTCAGGCCTTTTACCGAATGTTGGGACCCGGTTAGGCCTAGCCCTGGACGGCTGAGGGTAGGGGTTGCCGAATTACAAGCCTATTGTAGCCTTATGTACGCATACCATAAATTTCAGACATTTAAACTGCAATATATGTGTTTATGTAACTTACCTTTAAAAGAAATTTCTCAAAGTAAAAGTTTAAACATTTTTTTAAAAATATTATACGTCTGATACCGCCACGAAAATATACGTTTGTCTATGCTTGACCACGTGTTGAATTACTATTTGTAGGCCTACATTTGCTTGTAACAAATGCAATTTGATTTGCAATGATCATGACACTGTTTCATTTATGATATTGTAGAGTACAGTCACATTAATATAACCATTCACTCCTCATTGTGACAGGGTCATTCACTGGTATTGATTATTTCCCAGGTTGCGCAAAGCTGTAGCCAGGATATTTAAAGGGTATGGGACAATATCAGGGTGGACCCACTTTACTACACAAATCAATAGTGGTTTATGAGTGGATACTTAAATTCAAATAATGTGGACCCATTTTCAAAAAATTGTCCCATTTTACGCAAAAATATGAATAATTTGGACCCAATTTCTTAAAACTTTACCCATTTTACGAAAAAATATGAGAAATCTGGACTAATTTTCTTAAAAGTTGACCCATTTTACACAAAATATGAAAAATCTGGACCCAATTTTGAAATGTGGACCCATTCTTTGTGGACCCAACAGAAAAATTGTCCCAATAGCTTGCTACGGCATTGGTTGTGAGGTAAAAAGCTATCACAAATTCAAGTTCATTATGGAATTTTCACAAATTCAAGTTCATTATGGAATTTTCAAACATTTAAATGGCCATATTCATAATAAACTTTACTTAATTAACTTTATTTAATCAATATCGTGACAGTGGACTGGTTTTGGCATGGCATGCCTCCTATAATGAGAACTATTTATTATGTAACATAAATTGGTAGAAACTGCATTAAACTACATATTGTAATATTAAATAAGGTGTCAATGTATACAGGCTTTTGAATGTTGGTTTAGATAATTGAAACAAAAAAGAGTCTGCAAACACTATGACTTGTGTCAACATGGGAGGGTGAGTTTTCACAAGAGCTCTAATTAATAGTGACATCAATACTCTTAGGGAGGAGCAATTAACGATGACCATCAGATATTGGAGGAGATAACACTTTTACGATATTAATTTTAGATCAGCTTAAGATGCTACAAATTAAACCTTTAGTACAAAGTACGGACTTAATGTTATAACCGACATGTTGATTCTGGTTTGATCCTGTGAAGGGTAGCTGCTCACAGTAATTGGATTAATTTGGTTATCTATACAAGGTTCAAGAATTCGAGGTAATAACTTACTAATATTCTTGCTTGTTCAGGGGTCAAGGTCTGACCTTCTTTGCATACTGTGTAATCATCAATCATATGAATGACACCTAAGAAAATGAAAATTAAAAAAATATATATACAGTTTATTAATAAACGAAGATCAGAAACATCTCGATACACAAACTATATGTAGAGTACTGTAAGATTGATTTGGCACGAGACACACCAATAACAACATTTTTCTATTGGGGTTGTCCTGGTAGTAAATTGTACAGTGTACTGGATGACAATCTACTACTCTTTTCCAAAAACAGTAGCGTGAGTATGTTCTTTAATGTGCATGGTTTTATTGTCTCTATAATAATGAGGATGATGTTGAAGATGAGGAGGGATGATAATGATGATGCTGACAATGGAGTGTTAAGTTGATGATTAAGGTAAAGAAGATGGTAATTTTAATGGAGAGTAGTGACAAAGATCGTAATACGGATATTTACAAATGGGTGTGACAATGTTGATGACAGTGAGTGGACTGACGATGGGGTGTGATATTGATGCCAATGGTGAATAAAAAATAATGGTATTAATGATGAGCTATGCTGATCATGATGAAGATGACGACATCATATCATAGCTAAGACTAAGTACCTTTTTTAAGAGTAGTTGGTAGTCCAAGCTGTCGAAGTTGTGGTTCTAGAGAATGTGGAAACTGGTCAAGTGGGCCTTGGTCAAGCTCATAATTAAACAAAGCTTTGTTTCCAGTCCTCGCATAATCTGGATCCTGGAAATCATCAAACCACCTTTCCATAAATAAGAAAACAATAGAATCAGATAAATTGCCAAATTAATGAGGACAAAAAATTATTAACCTGTTAGATTAATAATGTTAAACATACTTAATAACAACTTGCTAGAGGGCAGTAATAGCTCAGTGGGCTAAACTGGTGATAGCCACTTTGTGGACTAAAACTGTATTAAAAGCATAGTGCTATTAAACAACTAGAGTGCTGACAAGATGGCGAAGCAATGCAGAGTTATGTATGTGTACCATCCAAGATGGCGGTCGTAGTAAAGCGCCACCTTCAGGCTTAGTATACATATTATTACCATAAACAAGCCCTCTGACTGACTATTATTTCATTAATGATAATGAGTAATGGTAATAACAAATTATTAAACTATCGTAACCAAAACGAGGCCAAGTGGAGCATCTTATTCAAAAATAAAGTGCCAAGGAATGAAGATTAAAATCGTGTAGATTACACCCATACACCCGTAATGCTCGAGTTTCAAACATACGGGTAACTAGCTGTACTGAACTTTCTGTGTAAATTGAGGACGCAACTGCAAACGATGGTGCTTAGGCAAAATTTGATTGGATAAATCATGGCAGCCATCTTGGATGGTACACACACACAGCTCTGCGTATTTCGAACATCGAATACATTGCAGTTAGCGCTCTAGTATTCTTATTATATCTCTATGATTAAAATTCTTTGGTCCCCTGTTCAATTCGCACCAGTGCTCCTGTTGTGTTTCACCTGGAAGGCTATATTACAAGCCCACCTATAATATATAGTGCACCACCTTTTGGATGAAATGTTTAAGTTGTTAGCCCTGTGTGCAATAATATTATTATCTTCATGTCTCCAATGTGCAGTACTGTTCAGAAAAGAGAAGAATAGTGTTGGATATTGTTTCCTGATGTACTGCCCAATTCACCACCAGGACCATATTAAAAATATAAGTCTTTTGACTTTAGCAACCTCTTTTTGGCATGTTTCACACCAAAGTAAACTATACCACAGTAAATTAAAGCCAGGCTCCGGAGAAAAAAAAACTGTTGATATGTTGCATTGATTTTCCAAAGGCAAAAAAAGCATATTTGATGAAAAACTTGGAAACGGTCAATGAGATACAAAAATCTGTATCTCATTAACTGTTCCCAAGTTTTTTTGTCATATACTGTATGCTTGTACCACTAGTAGCATATGTCTTAAAGCACTGTCTGCATATGTTCAAGGCAAAACTTCACATAAGACAATGCCTACTGCCACGTACACGGCTGGTTGAAAAATCAGTTGTACAACATATCAAAAATGTTTTCCCCTCCAGTGCTTGGCTTTAACATGTGAGATATTCAGAATTTTCAGGTGTATAAACTACCTCATAACATCATCTTTTTTCTCATTTGTAAATAGGAGCCCTACATTGCCAGTCAGTTTTTTGCTAAGCTGATGTAAATTTTCTCTATATTCATCTTCTCTTGTCCTGCCAAGTGCTACTGACATTACCTTGTTCTTGCCAAAAAAAAACCTAAAAATAAATCAGACATTCAATATTAAAAACCAAAATCAAAATGTATATGCTGTAAAAAGGCCTGTTTATACTTCAACGATAACGATAAAAAAGCTAAAAAGCAATTGTTCATGTAGAAAACAAAAGAAATAAGAGAAGTTTGTACACTAGGACGATTCGATAACGATTTATCGTGCATACGATAACAAAATATTTTTGAAAATCAAATCAGATGACGCCATAATCATGGAAAACCGATAAAATTGTTGCTACTACTACGATTTTAATGTTTTTCCATGATTATGACATCATCTGATTTGATTTGTCAAAATATGTTGTTATCACATAACTGATAAATCGTTATCGAATTGTTCAAACTTCTCTTATTTCTTTTATTTTCTATATGAACAATAATTGCTTTTTAGCTTTTTTATCGTTATTGTTGAAGTATAAACAGGCCTTAACTTTCCAAATGTGAAAAATGTAGTACAGTATGCTTCCCATAATATTAACCCAGTAATGGGAGGGATCAAACACTATCGAAAATGTTGTATTTTTGATGTAAAATGTTTTGAATGCGAGATTTTTGCTGTGCCATCTTGTTACTTTTGTGACGTTTGTTGGAAGTCCCCCCTTTTTTATGTTATATTTTTGCTTGTAACCTGTACTACAATTTAGCTTTGCTACAAAATTACACTTATTTTAGCAAACTAGTAAGAAATGATAATTGCAATATAATGTATAAATAATAATAGCAATAACAACAATAATAATAATAATAATAATAATAATACAGTATATAATCTGAAAACAATATATTAGTCAACATGCGTTCTTTTTTAAATACAGTAACTTAAACGATCCTTTCATGAATTTTATATTTTTTATATTTCTCGAATGTATTTTTACTTTGCCGTTGTGTTTGAAAGAAAAAATGATTGACGGATTGATTTGATTAAATGTTCAGTTTCCTTGATGTATTGGCATATTACCTACTATGTCTCCATCGGTTTCTGACCTCTTTTAGTTTTACATTCCGCATGTTATCAACAGAAAACAAAAATATCCGGGAAAATTTATCAACAGAATCTTGAACCTGAAAGACATTTACCATCAATAATGTAAATAAATTTTATTTGTAAGCATTTTTTAACTAAGAGCCAAATCTATGCTTTCTAGACCCATCTGCTACTTTTGAGTCAAGGTTTCTGGGATATTATTAGCAAATATATTAGCTTAGTGAAGAGTACAGGGTTTTTTTTAATACCCATATTGTTGTATCGTAATGGTTTTTAAAGTGATTATATTTAGAAATATTTAATAAATTAAGGACATAATTACTAAAACAGCATTGCAAAGCCAGATCACTGTATAATACAGCTAAAATGTTTTTCTTTTATTTATTTGCTTTAAACATTTATAACAAGAAAAATAATGACATTTTACAATGCTCATCAAGTGGCTAAGCCTGTGGGCTAGGCCTCCTTGATCCTACATCAGGCCTAAGGACTCAGCAGGACACCTATTTCCTAGCTACTGTAGGCCTATTACTAATAGGCCTAGGTAATTTTTCAAATGCCATGGCTAGGGATACAGTACCGTATCTTATCTTCCGTTTGCTAAAGGTACGGTAAATTGCATCATCCAATAAAATGCCGCCAACGGTGTGACGTCATTGTTCATAAAGACTTGTAAAATCACTTGCTGAATGCAGATAAAATTGGTGAAATAACATTCAGTACTTTGTTGTTTTGCATATGAATTAATCCTATTAGTACGGCACTAATGGAGGCACTAACATATCCCGTGTCATGGTCTTACAAAAATACATTTAAAACAATACTGAACAAGCAATAAAACATGCAAGTATTTTTTCACAGTAAGGGGCCTACCCAATATATTTACAAATCTCATAATTGTGAAGCAAATTTTACAAATATTCTCAGTTTTCAATTAAGAAAAAAAAATTCTAGATTTTCTTGGAAAAAATACTTTTTTTTGTAGGAAAATTGGATTTTAGGTAGACTTGGGAGGCTTGCTGAGTTATGTTTCCCAAAAACAAATACAGTATAAAATTTTAAAATGCCATGACAACTACGAACCAATTAATGGCAATCGTCTGTCACATGTTCCATAATCAAGTTACTTTATTTCTGATTGTTAATGTTAGTGACTTATACAGTAGAAACATGGAAGTAACAAATACATACTGTAACATTTGAACCTGATCTGGAAGTATAACTCACCAATCCCTGCTCAAAATACAGTATAAGTAATAAATGTCAAGCTATTGAATCCCAACACGATGGGCAGTGTATGGTGGCGTAATTATATTGGATAATGCAATTGACTGTACCTTTAGCAAAAGTTAAATTACGGTACTTTATCTCTAACCACTGCGTTTTTCAAAATATAAAATTAATAACAAACCTCTTGAATTAACTTCTGCTTCAGTTCCAATCCTTTCTTCTTCGTATTTGTTAGAGAAACTTGAGGATATAAGAGGTAATCCGCATTATGTAATAATACTTAAAACAACAATTGCCTAATAATGTCATAACAAACAGAGATAGTCACCCATTATTTGGCTAACATATGGTAACACAGGCCCGTTTGGCAGGGGGATGTAGATGGTTCGGAAGCATGCTCGCTTCAAATTTCAAAAGGTCCACTTTTAAAAAAAATAATTTTGACAATATCGTTCCCAAATTATTGTAAAATACTACAGTAGAAACCCTCAATTACAAACGTAAAATCAAGGTAATGAAGCCATAAAAGGTGAAGTGAAAAGCGAGTGAAAAATTAAAAAAAAATCTGCTCGAATTGTAACTGTTATTAGCATGCATACACACAACATACCATACTATACTATGTAATTCTCAATTGAAGGAGGCCCTCTAATAGACCTCTTCAAATTCAATGTTTATTATGGCTTCACATAATTTGCGTGCGAAAAAATTTACTTCTCTTTGAAGTAAAACTGAATTAAAACTCCATGTTTTAATCATCCTTTTCAGCTTAAAAGTCAACATAGTGCTTGATTGTTTTATTGAATGATCAATATGTATCTATAGAAGTTATGTTGGAGTAAAATCCACAATCTAGGTATTAAAGAAGGTAAAAACTTCCGATTAAAAACAAATTTGTGTGGGGCCTAGAGTGGGATTAGAATGCTTAGAAACTGCCTACTGTAGGCCTAGGCCCCCTCAGACTTAGCTGCGTAGGCATGTGGTCCTAGCCTAGGCTATGCCAGTGTATTACGAACGACTCTGGGCCTGTGCTGTATGTAATTGAGGGGTTCTTTCTACTGTATATGCTTTATAATATTCCCCGCACAGGCCTTGCTTTACAAATTACAGTACATATTAATGACTTGTCTCGTATTTTAAACTGGGATTTTCAATGTTCTTGAAAAGATGAAATTTGTATTTTTTTAATGTTGTTACTAAATATTAAGGTTATTTTGTTGTATTTTATTAGGCATGGGTTTATTTAGGAATGTATTTTATATATAAATGATGATGAAGAAATTATGCAAAATTGTTTTAATAAAGGTGGGTACTGCTACAATACAGTCTGGCTTCTAGATAACGTTCTAGCAAGAAGTAGTAGTAGCCAGACAGTCGACAGGCTTCACGGCCAAACACACGCCATCTCACGGCCAAATTCGGCCAACCTTTTTTCCTTCTTTTAATTATCACCATATAATACATGCCCAGCTACGTACATCATTAATAGCCTATGTTCTTTAGTTGCTGGCATGTACAGTATGTAGGCCAATTCAGGGCGAATCCAGAGATGTCCGAAAGGGGAGGGGCCGGGGCTGAAAAGGGGAAGGGGAGAAAGTGGGGCCGATCAAGATAACACCATCTTGAAGAAAATTTTTGTTTTCCAGACACCCGAAAATAACCTCTGATGCGTTTGGGCGATCAATTTTTCTTTCTTTTTTTTCACCCCCAATCCACCCCCAACCCTAAATCCGCATCTGCTATTTAAAATCACATTATTATTATTAAGATTGATCTAAATTTGATTTAAATGTATTAAATATTAAGGTACATTGTAGTCAATCTACTGTATATAGCAAAAATTTCAAGGGCCTGTTATTGGCAAATCCGTGGCTCTCTTTAATTAGAATGAATTAAGTTTAGTTTGGTAACAAACTATGCCTTAAATTGGTTTGACAGTTTTAATGGTCAACTTGAGTATACAGATAATCTAATAATATAACTGGACTTTGTATAACTTTACCCTAGTCAGTTGGACTTGGCCTTTCAATCACACTATGAATCTATGATTGTCAGTTTTGAGCCTAAGCTCTGAAGTTTGTGATACTTCTTAATTAGCAGTTTTTTGGTAAACAAGTTACTAAATCATAGAGAAAGTATTTCTCTATGATCCAATCAGAAACTCTAAAAGTATGGGGTGACTTACTTGAGACACACCCCCATTACCTAAAGTATAATAGGCAAACACCCCCATACAGTATCACTGAATCAGTAGTTAGATTCAACACAGAAGAAAAGTACAGAGCTTAGCTGACTCCACTCTAAAAGGGTTCTCTAACATCTGAAACCTGGAGTTTAGCTGATTGTAACCAACGTACAGTTTGTGTGAATAAAAGCTAGCAGTGAACTATTAAAAAGGAACTGTGTTTTATCGCATTAAAAAGCCACCAACAACTAACCGGTATTTAACATGGTGGAACAAACCTATGAAAACTTTAATAAACACTTTTTATCTAAACTTTCTAAATTCGCCTCTGAATGTTATTGTCACAGTACTTAAAGCAATAAATCAATGTTGCTATCAGAATTATCTTCTTCATTCTCAAATACAACCTCCAGAGTAACTTCGAAGAAGTCTCTGCAACGCATGCTTGAAATTGGAGGTGCCATCGGACCAAAATGATCACATCGAGCATTTATATGGCGCTCTACATAAAGAACACTGCAGCACCTGCCTATACATTTCAAGTGGCAAAAATAAATTAATTAAAGTACAGTATTTAATTTATATTCAAAAGAGATTCAAAAAAGATAGAACATCCAACAGGATGGAACATATACAAAGACACACAATATATGGTAAAACTTGCATGAACTGTCTTCATAAAGCTTAAATAAGGATAAACTTCATATAAAAAATATATACAGTATTTCATTCGAACAATTTAAATTATTAAATGTAACTGTTATCTTTTAAATGAACTCTCTTACGTCAACAAATCGGCTAAAGGGGTCCGTGTAACATAGTCCTAGATTATGTGTTTAGGTACAAACAAATGATAAGAATCAAATATAGAATTTAAGCTAACAAAAACAACATCCAAAACAAGTCTACGTTATTTTAGGCCTATATTGAAAAAAAAATGTAAACTAAAATTCGGCCAAATATAGTTTGGCAGTGACTTTTCAAATGTTACGGCCAGGCGAATTTTTATACGGCCAGATTCAGTCCGTCAAAAAGGCCAAATGGCAACCCTGGTAGTAGCTAGCTAGCCTAGCTAGGAGTTATGCTCTTTCATTGGCAACACATCCATCAGATGTTTGGACTCTGCCAATTTTAACCAAGCCAAGTAGAAGAAGTACTGTAGAAGTAGGCCTAGCTAGTATTAGCTAATATAGCCTGAAGTACAGTAAATAGCTAGCCTAGGCATATAGCTAGTTAGGCTAGCCTACTCTAGGCCTCTACTCTCCTAGCTAGCTAGGCCCAACTGTACCTACCTAAGGCGGGAACTACTAGGCCTCCTCCTAACTAGCCTAGCTAGCCCCTAGCCTAGTAGGGGTCCTACTAAAAAACGCCCGGGGCGCCCGGAGACGCCCGGGGAGCCCGGAGACGCCCGGAGACGCCCGGAGCGCCTGGATGGACGGCATGTAAGTTATAAACGGCTGTGATACGGCCAGAGAAATACTAGGCCTAGGCCTGGGCAGGAGAACAGCAGGAGCCTAGCTAGGAGGACCGGAGATATTATTAATTTGTTATTAAAGAAGACTGCAAATATTGAATCGGTTAATATTTAGCTAGGCCTAGGCCCCTAATATCTTGATCAAAATATTCATTTTCTTTTATTTTTTCAGGAACCCAAAGGCAGAAATCCTACTGTAGTAGGC